GCCAGAGGAAGTAGAAAGGGAAGGTGTTAGTGAGGAGTGAAATCTCACTGTTTTTTCAAATTCTCACTTTTTGTTTTTACTATGAAATGAAAGAATTGTTGAATTTAAATAGTGTTGTTTTAGTATTAATTATTCTTTGTTCACTTATGAATATGTGTTTCTGAGTATGTTGGAACTGGTTTTAATGCTCGGTGTATCAAAACAATTTCTCTACCTTGAAGTGGTAAGGTGTGTGTACACATCATCCTTTTTAGACCCAACTTGTGGGATTACACTGGGTATGTTATTGTTGTTGTAGTTATTTTACTCATTGCCCCAACCTTCCCTGTAGGAGCTGAATCACTAGAAAGATCTCTTCTTTTGTTTAAACCAAGTTTGTTATATGAGTAAAGCTATGTGAGTGTCTCTGTATACATCACTGCAAGTTCCTCTTTAAATTTATATAATCATAAGGCTGAACAAAAAAATACATCTTCTTTATACTCACTGTATTAGTGCCTCACCCTTGCATGATATTGAGAAGAAAACATGGTTGGTAATTCGACATTAAGGTGTTAATAATTGTGGATATTGCCTGCTCCTTGTGAGTTTTTAAAGAGGAACATCATTTGACTGAGTGTAGTTTTTTTCAGAATGGGAAGCTCTGGTGGTATTAACTATGGTTCTTACACTTATGAGAATCTTGAGAGGGAACCTTACTGGCCATCTGAGAAACTCCGTATTTCCATTACTGGGGCTGGAGGATTTATCGCTTCTCACATTGCTCGTCGTTTGAAGAGCGAGGGCCACTACATAATTGCCTCCGATTGGAAGAAGAATGAGCACATGACAGAGGATATGTTCTGTCATGAGTTTCATCTTGCGGATCTTAGGGTTATGGATAATTGCTTGAAGGTAACAAAAGGTGTTGACCATGTCTTCAATCTCGCTGCTGATATGGGTGGCATGGGTTTCATTCAGTCCAACCACTCGGTTATCTTCTATAACAACACTATGATCAGCTTCAATATGATGGAAGCTGCTAGGATTAACAGTGTCAAAAGGTCTTCTATCTTTGTTTTATGCTCTTTTGTCTTCTAATTATAGTAATTCAAGTTTAATTCGTGCTTAAGGTTTAAAAGTTCCAGGACTTGCTGCATTACTATATAGTTTTATTTGTCAATTTAGTTCAAATATATTCATTTGGTGTCTGACTATGATATTATTCAGGTTCTTCTATGCATCTAGTGCTTGCATATACCCCGAGTTCAAACAACTCGAAACAAATGTCAGCCTGAAAGAAGCTGATGCTTGGCCTGCAGAGGTTTGTTTCCTAAAAATAGAATGTTTCTTTACTATGCCATTTGATTAATTGCAAAGTAACGGTTTCTAACTTTTCTTTGGTTTTGTGGGTTCTAGCCTCAAGATGCATACGGCTTGGAAAAGCTTGCCACAGAAGAACTGTGCAAACATTACAACAAGGATTTTGGAATTGAATGTCGTATTGGAAGGTTCCATAACATCTATGGACCTTTTGGAACTTGGAAAGGTAATTTATTGAATGTCGCTGCTAACCAGACAAGTCATATTCTGTCTTTATATGGATTGTGAGAAGTCATTTTCTTAATGTTTTCTGCATTTCAGGTGGAAGGGAAAAAGCTCCTGCCGCTTTTTGTAGAAAAGCACAAACTGCAACGGATAAGTTTGAAATGTGGGGAGATGGACTTCAAACACGTTCATTCACCTTCATTGATGAGTGTGTTGAAGGGGTTCTTAGGTGAGACAGCCAAATCTTTATTTCTGTACACAATTAGAGCAATTAGTTACTACAAATAAGCACTAATTCTGAATTACTGGAGAAGTTTGTATGTGCTTTGACTGGATTCAATTATGAGAATTAGGCAACCCCCTTATATTGAACTTTTTTCTTTGGGAACGTGTTTACCGATAAGATTGAATTTCTCAAGGGGATCTTACTTGTTACATTGGAAGAAATATAATAAACTTAGCTATAGTGTATATAAACAAATCAATTTTAGTTGCTCAATATTACTTTTTAACTGTGGTTGTCGAATAAGCTTTTGTCTAAGTGGCTTGTTTTATTTATTACTCTTTATATAGATTGACAAAATCCGACTTCCGAGAGCCAGTGAACATAGGAAGTGATGAGATGGTCAGCATGAATGAGATGGCTGAGATGGTTCTCAGCTTTGAGGACAAGAAGCTTGCTGTCCAACACATTCCAGGCCCAGAAGGCGTCCGTGGTCGCAACTCAGACAACACACTGATAAAAGAGAAGCTTGGTTGGGCTCCAACAATGAGATTGAAGGTACCATTACGCTCTTTACTGCTGACTTCGTAAAATTCTTCCACATTTACTCTATCAGAAGTGACCTTGTCATTTGCATTTGGCAAAACTATGTTCTGTGCCATGTATAAACTAATGATCATTCTCCGAGTGCAGGATGGTCTGAGAATTACATACTTCTGGATCAAGGAGCAGATCGAGAAAGAGAAATCTCAAGGAGTTGATACTGCAACCTATGGATCTTCCAAGGTGGTGGGCACCCAAGCTCCAGTTGAGCTAGGTTCCCTTCGTGCTGCTGATGGCAAGGAATAAGTTCATTCCTTCTGTCATCATTTCAACTGGAAGCCAATCCCTCTGCTATGACATTGCTGCATTATGTATTATGGCGTCGTAGAAGATGTGTTAAGTTCTGGTAATTGTTGGCTTTTCTTGGTTTTAGTTTGAACATGTCAATGTAATCTATTACCCCTTGGTCTTGTGAAGGGGATGATAGTTTAATAGTATATTTATCAGTCGTTCGAGAAGATCTCAATGTGAGAATTGAATAACTGCCAGTGGATCCTCTCTTGTTTTTTTTACCTAGTTCAGGATCTTGCTGTTGATGATCATGTAATCAAAATTTTAATCTTGTTAAGGTTTATATGTAAGATTTCATTGCAAAGTTATTATTATCTCTTCATATAGTAATGAGATTGAAATTTTCTTAGAATACTGAATCTTCATCTAGATTGCAGAAAATGTCACTCTTCTATATTTAGCGAATTAACGTTAAACTTTTCATTTTTACCCTTGCTGAAATTATTTGCAACCACATAAATATTTTCGATTTATTTTAAATCACAAATTTCAAGAGTCTTTCTTTCATTCTTACATTTCATGCCTACAAATTTGTCTGAGTTATCACAATTATTGAACAAGATACCTTTTCTTCTTTCTTATTTGTTGAGTGGTCCTTGTATAGTAGTATCACATACGGATCAAAATTTTCCACAGGTCACAATTCATGCACTTTTTCAAACTACACATATTTCCTAATCTACTTTTTCAGTGTCTCAATAGCCAAATATTCATAAAGTAGAACAAGTGAACTAATTCCACGTCAAAAGTTGAGAAAGAAAAAATAATTCGCCTCGTATGTTTTTCTTAATAGTGTGAGGCCTATGAGAAATCTATACGAACTTAATTCAAAATGAATAATATTACACTATTGTCCGACTCAAAAAGATGTAAAAATCATAATCTACCATAAAAAGGTGAAAAACCACTCATCTACTTGATATTTTTATCCAATGATCAATTAGAAAATTTTATCTAAATTTCATAAACAAAGGCTGAATTACACGTTCCAACTCAATTATTTGCAATGTATTTTACGAAAGATACATGTGGTCCTTTAACTTTACATATAATTTGGGGCAGACACAAATTGGGTCTCTAGCTAATTATTGAGATTCTAAACCATAGTACGATGTGGTCCTTGTTTATTAAAAAGATCAGAACAATCAATTATGTTATTGGTAGAAAGTAATTTAATTATATTATTATTATATTTTTAAATCGTAACAAGCATAATAACTTGTTAATTTTTTTATATTATCCTTGTAAATAATTGAAAATTAAGACTTTGTGATTATGCAAAAAAACAAAGAAGATTAGGTGCAAATCATTGATAATGATAGGATAAGGTATAAGTTAGGAGAGAAAAACAGACCTTAGGAGTGAACATCACAAATTACTCTCATTTTTCACCTTAAAATAACAGGAGATTATCATAAGAAAAAGTCATTAAAAAATGAGATACAAGGGTTGAAATATCCTTCCATTCAGCGGAATAAGATTCTTCAAATTTTAATCATAAATTTTTTATTCGAGCTTGAAAATAGAAAAAATCAAATAAAAAAAGAGATTCTCTCTAAATAAGTTTTGCAGAAATTTAATATAAATTACTGAGGCTAATATCAGATAATTAAAAGAAAATAGATCTTTTTGGAGGGTGTCGGCAAGCGTAGGTGAAATAGAAGCTATAATGTGTTCCATGTGCCACAATTACATTGCAATTTAGCACACCAAATAATGAAGTTTTTGCACCGATTCCCTATTCCGTCTTCAATTTTTGCTCCTTAAATCGTACTCTCTTACTAGTTATTTATCCACTTTTGAATTAACATATCTATTAAGAAAATAATGATTGACATAGTGAGTTTACCATTTTATCTCTATCAATAAGTTATACATTTTTCAAAGTAATTAATTGAGGGTATAATAGGTAAATTCTTTTTGTCCTTTCTTGATTTGTTAAAATGGACAAGTAATTAGGGACAGAAAAATCATTTTGGCCAGAATGATAAAATAACATATTTTACACTATGTTATTTTACCTTTTTGAATATTTTTGTCCTTGTAACTTTAATACATTTTAATTAAAAATGGAAAAAAGATCAGTTTATTTTAAAATAAAAATGATATTATAGACTTTTTAAATTTTTGGCCTAATTACTAAAAAAGAAAAAGTGGACAAGTAATTAGGAATAGAGGAAGTAGTGAAATGGTAAGCACTTAATAATTACTCCCTCGCTTTTTAAGAAATTAAGTAAATTTATCATTGTACCTTATTTGTTGTGTTCTCCTAAAGTCATGTTTTCAATAAATGAACATGAATTAATTACTTAGCTTTTCTATGTTAGTCAAATGCATATTTTTAAAGCTAATAGTGTCATTTATGCATCAGTTTTGTAAACGGGCAAATATTAAAGAACATAAAGGGTCTAATATACCCCTTAACTTTGTCATTTAGAGCTGATATACCCCTCATTATGAAAGTGACTTATATATAACCCTACTTATATACACATGACTCACATATATTCTTTTCCTCTAACGGAAGTGAAAAAATTAATTTTAGTTTAATTTTTTAATTATTTTTAAAATATATATATATATATCCCATATGAGTATATTTAACCCTCCTCAAACATATTGTTTTTTTTGACTTTTTTATTGTTTCAACGACTAATTTAGATTTATTATTTTGATGGTCAAATTTATTTATGTTTCACTAATATTCTTGTAAAATTTATTATAGATGACCCAATTTTTTTCTTCAAATACAAAAACTAAATTACAATATAGCCAAAAAAATAATAATTTTAAATTATAATATAGCCACAGAAAAATAGTTAATTTTTTTTTTACACCAAGGAATGAAAGAAAAATATAAAATAAGAACAAGAAATTCAAATAATGATTAGCAAGTCAAAAATAATTTATGTATGAAAAAGACTAAAATATACCTTGAACTTTGCTAGAAGAATCATATATACTCCTAAATGATTTTTTTTAAAAAGTCAAAAATATAAATTTAAAACTAATTTTTTTCACTTCCATTAAATGAAGGGTATATGTAAACTCATTTTGTAACGGTAGAGGTATATGTGAGCCGTTTGTATAACAGTAAAGGTATATATGAGCCACTTTCATAACGAGGACATATAAGCTCCAAATGACAAAGTTAAGGGTTATATAAGACCCTTTTCCCTTTATTTTTTATAAAGACGACATATAAATATGATAGAATGAGGGAGTATGTGAGTGGAAGGTGTGCGGAGCTCTTGAACTATTAAACTACCTCAAAAACATTCATTCCCTTGGGCCTAGGTTATGAGTTATGTATGACCATAGATAATTGAGTTATGATTTTTTTTGTTTCACATTGTCAAGAAAAAGGTAGTTTTGATTATTATATTGACAGCTAATTAATATATATGGATTCAATCGAGAAACATACTCCATTGGTAAAATATATAGGAACACATTAAAAGTAAAGAAATTTAATGATAAGTTGAGTCAAAATCTAAGATAAATTTCATGGGATGAGTTTGTGAACTTTTCTGGAATAATTTTATATTGAGAGGGTGTATTTGAAGGCGCATCAATATACCTTCAATTGTCAAGATCATGAAAAGTTGGGTTAACTTCAAGTTGAGCTGCAAACTTCTCAAGGATCTCCTTCAGAAAAACCAAGAATTCGTCCTTCTCTGATGTTTTTGCATCAGTGTTTCCATTTTCTATAGCACCTAATACGGTATCATATAGAAGAATCACCACTTCATCATTCAGAGGTGGCAAGCCCAATGAAGCTCCATTTTTCTCGAGATAGTGTCGAATGACGTCTTTTGTACTTAGACCGTCTTTCTCTTCCTGCATTATCTTCTCTACTGTTTCGCTTAGTTGCTTTTCATCAGCCAAAATCTGCATATCATGGCCAGTTGAACAGATTAGAAAGACAGAGTAGAAAGAAAGAAAGATTTCAGCTTAGGTACAAAAAAATGAGTCAAGTAGCAACCTTTCTCAATTTGGAACCATTATTGATCTTGATTTTCTGCAACACAACCATAGGGTTCTCAGCAAGAACATCTGCCAGCTCCTGAAGCACAGGTTGAAGTAAATGTGCGAATTGGGCTTGCCCCAATTCATCCTCTCCTTCAGCTCCATGCCTCTTTAAAATGTCACTTAGTAGAGGAAACTCTGCTCAACAACAAATCTAGAATTCAGCGTAGGAATAGGCTGTCAATGAAATTTGATTGAGCTGCACAGAAATCAGCTGCCAAAGCTAGTATTCCAATCTTTTGGATTGGACTAAAAAAGTTTTTAGAATCATGCCATATAAGATGGAACAGAAGGGATAGCTCAAATGACAATGAAACAGTTAGTAGTTTTCAGAAAAACTAATAATATCATGATATTAGATTCTTAAGTCAAACACTGACGAGAAGAAATGATCTAGTCAAAAAATTCTTATTCAGATCATATAGCTCACATGCTTCTCAGTTAAAGTCTTTGAATCTTTAGTGAAGTGCATAAACACTATGAAACCTCAAGACAAAAATATATATGATTAATATGTATAAGATGGTGTCCGGACCTTAGAAGGGTGAAATATATAACTACCCTTTCATTTGACTTTTGAATAGTCGATGCATTGAATTGTAGCTAACTTCTCAATGGGTTATGCATTGAAATTATAATATTTAATCATTAAAAATAATAATAAGAAATATAAGAAGAATATGGACACAGACATCAATTTCTTATTAACTACTCGAAACATTACAAAATCAATTAGTTTTATTTACATTGTATGGAGTTATCTCTACAATGGAGATAATTACGACTTATATTTAAACTGTAGCTAAGCTTGGTATCTCTATCCTTACCAGAATTATGAAATCAGATGAAACTTTAAGATTCAAAGACAGGATTATATGATTAAGCTTGAATTCTGTGCACAGGATAACAACTGCAGAATGTAGGGTGTCTTGGATTGAACATGAAGCTGCTAACGCCCTAACAGTTATGGTGATGGGTGATTTATAAGAGGACAGCAGTGATAAGCAGAGAAAACAAAGAAATACCTGATCTTTTTATAAAAAAAAAAACCTATTTTGAAACCAAATTCAATGGATGGGTAAGTTGCTCACTCTTGATGTCAAAGCGTTTTGTTTCCATATAAATAAGAAGTTAAAAGGGCAAAAGGTCAAAAGATATATGTTGAGGATTACTGCTGCATTTTCTCCTAAGAAATAATATTTGCAGAATTTTGCATATGCTGAAACATATAATGTCAAATGAAGATACATATGAAAAGGGGTTTTTGAGAAAAGCTTCATCATTTGAATGCATTTGAATTTTTTTATTAAGTCATTTGAACACCTTCAATGATATCTAGCAATGATAGAGAATGAACGATCTTGTGGGATTACACTCGGTATATGTTGTTGTTGCTAGAGAATGAACGGTGTTTTGATGCTCTTATTGGGGAGGAGGGGAGCAAACCTGAAAGAGGAGGAATTCCCATTTCGACACCCATGTGAAAGAGAGCATCCCGTATTTGATTTCTTTTGATCTTTCCTTTATCTTCTGTGTCTAAATCTGTGAAAAGATTCTCAGCCAACATGGCAAAGTCATCTTCATCTTCCAAAAACATTTGAAGAGTTTTCCCATCCAAAATTGCAATGACTATAGGATCATCTGAACATGGATATAAGAAATCAGTATGATTTTTCATTTCATCTAATAAAATTGGATCACTGATAGAATGAACAGAAAGACAAGTCTAGCACTTAACTATCCAACCCAGCATAGAAGCATACAAAAAGACACCAATAACATACATAGCCAATTCAGAAAGAGCATGAAGTTCATATGGTCAAGGTTTGAGCATGTTTATTTTCCACAAATTGCAAGGCCATTCAAGAGTCAAGACATTATCCTCTTTCTGAGATTGTAATGTTTAGTTCAACTTCATCCAAAAAAACAAAAGAATTGCAATGTTTAGTTCAAAGAGAACTACTTAGTTCTTTTAACAGTTACTTGACTTACACTCTCCATAGGAAGCAACTTTCTAAAGTGCAACTACTTGAAAGGTTAGCTTCCAGTCCATTTAGAATTTTAGGTAGTCTTAGACTCTTGGCGCATCTTTGTTAATTTGGATGCACCAAAATCAACACAAGACATCTGATCAATCTGTTTAAGTGAGATTTGGAATATCAAAGAGTGAAGTCTAAGGCATCTTGTACTCTACATCAATAGAGCTTATTATCACTTGGTTTTGGATTTCCTATCTCATCTTAACTAGCAAAATACCAATCAACAACATCTCAATCTCAAACTAGCTGGGGATGACTATATGAATCATCTGTTAAAGCGCATATCATTCCAATACTTAGGAGTTCCATAAAACTTGAGATTCTCAAATCTTACATTTGGGTACCCATATATGTACAGAATTATTTCTTTCCCCGTTAAATAATAAATAGAGTTAAACAAGGCAAAAAAAGATTCTCTGCTAAGGCCAAGGTTTTGGTGATTAGAGTAAGACTTCATAATTGCTGTCTCAATAAGTGACTAGACTGAATAGTAGAGTAACCTGAGGTCTTACAACTCACAAGAAACAAGCAAATTAATTATAGTCCGCCTTGGTCTTGGGTGTAGCAAGTTGAGAAAGCACAAAATGCCCCCTCACCACATCTGTTACTAAGAAAACATGCATGAAGAATGATTAAGTAAGAGCTATCCAACTGTCAGTATCACCTAAAATTTCCATATCTAAGAAACTGTTAGATAACTAATCTGATTATCTTATTGGTCAAGCAAAACCAATAGTATCTCCTCTTCAATTTCATCCTCATTGTGCTTCTTTAAAATGTGATACTTGATCTTCAATCGCGTGTAATTAGTAATTACATAAAAATTTCTTGTTAGATTCCTTATCCATCATACTTGGAATTAGCTACATTCACGGAACCAAAATTGTCATATTTCACTTTCTAGTCACAAATTCACTAGAAAGACTGCCAAAAAAAAAGGTTCACAAACTCTATTACTCCATTTTTTTGAGACAAAATGTACTAATTTATGTCCACTTCACCTTGACTGGTACATTGACCCCGGAGCAATGACATTCAACAATTATTAGTATTTCTTCTTAAATCCGACTTCTTCCACTAAAGTGAAAATGACCTAAAAATTATGTATCACTGAGATTCCGACTTGACAAATATAACAAGTATCTAAATTTTTCTCCCCGATAGTTTGATCTTTCGGTCAATTACCAATAATTTCATGCTAGTACAATATATGAGTACTTCTGAACAAGTCAACACACTTACCTTGGAGTTCATTCGCAATGGCGTCGACGTAATTCCGGAGCACAGACAAGGCGTTTTCACGATCGAGCTGTTCACGGCGGAATTCAAGGTCATCGGAGACGCCGATGCGTTTAAGAGCGGCGGACTTGAGAGTATCCGGCAATGAGAAGCCGAAGAGTGATTCTGAAACTTTCGATTCTGCGACGTCAAGAAGCTGAGCACCAGTTACTGAACTGTCGGCCGGCGACGGTAACGATAGATCAACGGCTCTGAGCTGTGTTCCGTCCAAAATCGTCAATCCTCCGTCCGACATTTTCCTGTTAATGTGAGAGAGGAAGTCTTGAATTGGCGGAGAGTATAAGAAACGAAAACGCGTAGTAACGTACCGTTGTTTGACTTGACGCAAATATGCTTATGACTTTTTTTCCAAGTTTGACTAAGTATTTAATTATTTTATTTTTAATAACTTCTTTTTGATATCCAAAATATCTTAATCAAAATAAATTTTCTAACTTCTTCTTCACTCTGTATTCTTTTTTTTTTCCCCCTTTATACATATGTTTCTAAAATAAAATTGTAAGTGTATTATAATCATTCTAACAAATATACTTAGCTTGCTAAAGTTTTTTAAAAATAATAATCAAGATCATCATTGTTTATTAACAGTTCCAATACTATCATTCAAATATGTAGTTATTTATTTATAAAATTAATTTCAACACTATAACATATTTTTCAACGCTTAAACTCATCAATTAATTATAATTAATTAATCTTAACACTCTAAATATAATTAATAGTATATATTTAAGGAAAAAATGTATAAAATAGCAAACTATTAATTCAAATAAATTATATAACCATAATTTCATTTAATTCTAATCCATAGCAAACAGTTTATCACTCGCCTCTTTCTCCAGAAATCTCGCTCGCACTCTCCCTTGCCTCTCTCACTTTATACAAACACAAATGTATAAATTGTGTTTGTGTTTGTATAAAGCGAGAGAAAACTGTATATACACATACAACTACCGAGCTCTTTGTCTTATACACTTATAATTATATAATACAAATCTTCATCTATCCAGTTCTCTTTTGCCTTTTTCTCTTTCTCGCTTTATACAAACACAAAATCACAAATTATACAAAATACAATGTATAATTTGTGTTGTATAAAGCGCACGCAAGAGAGAGATTTGCCAAATGTTTTAATTCAATTCAATTGTATACAAATTCAAATTTTATACAGATATACAAACACAATCATTGATACATATACATAATAATTACATATATACAATTGTCTAGCCAATATACATATACAATCGCCGCACTTTTTATACAAATGAGATGTTTGCTTGCGATTTATACAAATGAGATGCTCTATAGCAAACATAGTTTGCTATGGAGCGCAAATAGCAAAATTATAGCTATAGAGCGTTAATATGAGTTTTATGTTTGCTAAACCTAAAATTTACTCATTTAATACAAATAACTAGTAGGTTGGTGTCCGGAAATAATTCTACGCCTTTACATACTAACAGAGCTAGAATGTAGGAAGCCAACTAAATTAAAATCCAATAAAATTTTCAATTCTTAAATTCAAAATACAAGTAAAATTCTCATATGATCATTTAACTTAATGAAATTATGTAATAAAATTATTTATGTTATTTTTATATTAATAAAATCACTCAATTTAGTAAAATCGTATAGTAAAATCATTTATCCTCTTTTAAGTTATTAATCAGAAATACACTTAAACTATCATTTATTAAAGAAAAAAAAATCATACATCAACTGTTCATTGTTCTTTTTACTTAAAAAAAGTCTGTCCAAACACGCTTTAATTAGTTTTCTCTTAAGTTTGTATGAAATAAATATATTTTGACCCAATTAAGTAGGCTATTTTTGGATGACCATTAATATAGGTAAATTTGGTGAATTTTTCATATATTTTTTGGGGTATAATATTTGATATTTTGGTGTTTCAACTTTATATTATTTGTTACACTGTTTCAATGTATGAATAATGTTACATTAGAAATGACGTAACTATTTATACACCAAATTAATTTATTTGACTGTTGAAATAATTAAATTTTTATTTCAAATTTATCTTTAGTAAAATATCTCTACACATTCTTTAATGTGTAGAAATACTAGATACCATCATAAACTACCTAATAATAAAGTAAATTTTATCTTAATCTGAATCGTTGGATGAATTTCATCTTAATCTTAATTGTTAAATAGATTTCATACTTATCTCAAATTTATCTTTTTAAATTAAAATATTTTTACACCTACTTTTAATATATAAAAATGAACATAATTTAAGTAACTCCATATTTTCAATCCATTTCAAAATCAAATCAAATGTACTTATTTGTCTTCTAAAAATGAATAATAATAATGATGAAAATTCCTCCTCCTCCTCCTCCTCCTCTTCATCATTTTTAGATTTATTTGATGATCATAGTGCAAAAGAGCAACAAGTAATTATGCAAAATATTTGCATGAATAACTATATGTTACATCATTATTTGCAAGAATATCAAAATATTGAAGTTTCTAGCGTTGGGGAAAAATTGGTAGGGCTTCCCTCCAAAAAACCCCAAATTGTAAATTCCCTCAAAAACCCTAACTCAATTAGCTGCTCGCTTAACCGCATAGCATTCTCCTCAGCCGCCTCTGTAGCTCCCAACGCTCCGCTCAATCAGGTAAGTTTTTGTCATTCTGCTAGTTAGTTTGACTCTTGAGAAGCGAAATATGATAAGTATTTTGGGATGTAGGGAGTAGAATTTGATTTTAGGCTCAATCAGTAATAATTTTTCCATGTATATGACTTAGGTATATTCACTTCTCGCTAATCCTTCAAAAATACTTTAAGCATCGCAAATTCTACGATATTATATCAAGTGGAAGATCCTAAGTAGTTTAGAGAACGCCTAAGGGCATCTCCAATTCATAACATCAAATTTTACACTAAAATGGTGTCAATCAGCACAGTGACACTATTCACACACTAAAATAGTGTTGTGTTGGAGCCCAAAATACTAAATTTTACACCAAAATAGGATTTGCGAGCTATTGCATAGGAGCTAGTGCGGGTTACCTCTCCTATGTGGTTTGCGAGCTATTGCATAGGAGCGGGGGTTTTACTTTGTGCGCACCAAAAGGTTTGGTAGCAGCTGCGGGTTTTCCTTGTCATAAAAAAAGATAGGATTTGGTGCAAAAAATAGTATTGGATTGGAGATGGTTTATGTTCCTTTCATTGGTTGGCTAGTAGCACACAGATTGAGAAGTAATTGAACAGAATGTACTAGTTGGAGTACAAGTGCTTCTTGGTGCTGTAGTGAAATTTCTGTCTTAGGCTTTTACGGAGAAGTAGCACTGTGCTACTGCATATATGATAGAACAGCAACATACTCAATATAGTTCCACAAGTAGGGTATGGGGAGGGTGGGGTGTAGACAGACCTTACTCCTACCTTTGTGGTGGTAGAGAGGTTGTTTCCGTTAGACCCTTGTCTCAAGAAAAACGTTTTTCAGAAAATGGTTGAAAGAAATGCTACTGCATATATGATACAAAATTAAAAAGCAGACTTCATACGGATATGTATTTAATAGTACTTTCTGTTGGATCTTTCCAATATTTATGTTCTGTTTGGAGGCATTGGGGCTTGGTCCATGATGGAACTGGAAACAGTTATCTGGGCTGTTTTTTTTCATACAGAATGTGCATTGCTTGTCAATTGTGCAGAGATGGGAATGAAAACAGTTTTCCAGTATTTACTTTTCGGGTTTCTCATTAAACTGTTTGGGATGTATTTTAATATGGGGAGAAGAAAATCTTGATGTGCAACTTATCAAAAAAAGTAAATCTTGATATGCCTGTTTGAAGAAATTCTATTCAGTATGTAGGTTGACCTAGTTGTAGTTTTCGGCAAAGCGGACAGTTTGGAGTTCCTTTGATTATGACTTGTGTTAAGACTTAAGACGGAACCTTGCCTATTTTTGAAGGAGCAGAAATGGGGAAATGATTTTGGTACTTTAAGAAGCTGGGAAATGGTTCTTCTTGTTCCTTTTGTTTACAGAACCAGAAAGAAGCTCTTATTCCATTGAGTTGCGGGAAATCATCTTGTCTGGACCTTCAACCTACCCAAGCCCATCAGAAATGAGTGTCCTTTACAGTGGAGGAATATATTCTGGATTTCTGGCTTTTCCTCTTCCTTATTTGTAATGTAAGACCACCCTCCTTGGGGATTGGCCAATGTGTGAAAGAGTAGACCACAAGAAGGATTTGACATCAGTGACATGAAGAATGTGAAATACGTACTACTCCTTTTAATGTTTTTTGTGGTGTGTTTTCCTTTCTGCATATTTTTATATGCTCTACTTGTTTGATTAAAAACGAATGCCCCATGTAGATTGATTCAGCACTCAAATGTTTCATGTAAGGTAATCATGCACGTGCAATATGTCCACATGCTTGAAAATCTATTTCGTTGAGTGTTTTATTGGGTGTACACTTAAAGGTTAACTTTCACATCGCACACAATATCTTTCTTTTTTTTAATTATTGGTAACACTAAAATCTGGATTGAGGCGAGGACTGAAATTATGCAGGAGACTATGAATCCTCAAATGCAAGATGCATTATCCTCTCCTCAAGTTAAAGCAACATTTCGCCTTGGATCAGAAGCATACTCTGTTGAGGCATGTAAAGGGATTTTATCTGAGCAACTGATATCTATGAAAGAGCAAAGCATGACCATACTGAAGGACTATATCACCAAGCATAATGTTCCAAATGAAGTCCCTGATGAACCAGAAGAGTTTTCTTCAGAAGATGATGGTGAAATTCCCGAGCAGCCCCCTGTAAAATCCAAGAAGCGCAAGTAAATCTATTTTCTTCCTCTGCTTATGTCTTTGTAGGGTTTTTGTATTTTTATGATGGCTGTTAACTCTCTCTTACATGGTGAAAATTGTAGTTGATAAAGATGTGGAATTAATTGCCAGTTGCCATTACTTGAGATCAAGGGAACTCTTTTAGTATTTTACAAGAGTGTGATGTGAATGCTTGGTGAAAGTTTCCATATCTCTTTAATTGGACAATTTTTCTCTAGAATGGAGTCTAACAAAAGGCCCTTTTGTTTGTTCAATCTTTTTATATTTTGAGGAATGTATTCATACTTCATATTTTGGTTTTCTAAATGATTGATCAATAGTCACTACAATGTTACGATTGTGCACAATTTCTCCATTGCTGTCTCGATTTCTCCTGTTTATTCTGGGTGACTAAAGTGGTCCTTGCAATATATTGGAAGAAAAATAACATGTAGTTCTACTGAATATTATCTAGTTGAGTCTCATCTTTCCGCTAAGAAAGCCATACTTTCTTTACAAACATGCTTCGGCTAATGAAGTCTTAAAAGTTTTGCACAGGCTAGAAGCAAAGTATAGTGTAACCTAGCCATAGAGAGCACTTTCATACCATTTGGAGTTCACTCAAAGTCTTTGAAACAGCTGATGGATACTCATCAGCATCATATGCAGAATTAACCTGGGTATTTTCATATTTCTCTTCATCATCCCATAATACATATGCTTCCTCTCCATGGATAGCGTCATCTCCAATTTGCAGCACCCCTTCGTCCAACCTAAGAGGCACTATCAACTTGATGAACAGACAGACCAAGCTTGTCGTGACAATATTTAGACATACTATGAATCCGATACCAGCTAGTTGAGCTCCCATTTGCCGTAGCCCAGCTGAGGTCCGGCCTGTCTGCAAACCATAGGCTAGGCCGATGTACCTTTCCCATTCAGGTACGAGGTAAAATAGCCTACAGAGTTTTGGCACAGCAAAAAATCCAGTGAGGATACCGCCTAAAATCCCCGCTAGGGCATGGGTATGGAAGACAGATAAGGTGTCGTCGACATGCCTTAAGAGCTTGACCTTCTTGTGAAGGATTGTCATTGTGTACCATGGAACACTTCCTGAAATTAAGCCCATTAGGATGGCCGCCCAACTTTGAACAACTCCTGTAGGTAGTGAATCTACTGGTTAGTCTAGCATGTCAAAATTTATACCCAGTCACTGCACTAAATGAGAACGTACCTGCACCAGGGGTGATGCAAACAAGGCCGGTGATCATGCCATTAACAGCTCCGATCACAGAGGGTTTGCCAGAAACAGCAATATCTAGGACCAGCCAAGTAAGGAGGCTGGTGGCGGTGCAGACATGTGTATTCAATATGGCTAAGGAGGCGTCAGTGCTGGCAGTATAAGGTGCTCCTCCGTTGAACCCAGTCCAACCCATCCATAAAAGGCCGGCGCCGGCTAACATCATGAGAATGTTGTTTGGTGGAAACCTCTCTCTGTCTTTGTCCAGCCTGGGACCTACCTGTTATAATATTAATATTGCCATGCAACATTCCAAGTTATGATCAGGACAAGAAGATCACCTCAAAGTAAATCTAGAGAGAGTTGAAGTAGTAATATTCCACTTTAATGGTTGTACAGAGGGGAAGAGGGTCTTGTGTTAGCTTCATGCTTTCGGGTTCGAGCCCTAGTATGGAGAAAATCTTGTTGGTAGTGCCACCCCACATGGCCTTGCAGTGCGCGATTAGGATGTAGTCGGTGCGAAAAATAAAAAGAAGAAACTTACCCAATAAGCCGCAGTAAATCCAGCAACACCAGAAGAGAGATGAATAACAAAGCCTCCTGCAAAATCAATCACTCCTAGCTTGGACAGCCATCCATCTGGGCACCAAATGCTAAATGTGCCAATGGTATACGAAAAAGTATGCCACAAAGGCACGAACAACATCCAAGCTATAAAATTCATCCTCCCAAGAAGAGCCCCAGCGATCAAGATTGGCGTAATGGCTGCGAAAACAAACTGAAAAAACACCATTGTTGCTGTGGGGAAGTATCCCAGAAATGCTTGTCCAAGAAGATACTTCTCATCCAAGGCGACAGACGGTTTTCCCCAGAAGGCCACGAGCTTGTCACCGAATGACATCCGGTAGCCCCATCCAACCCAACATATGAGAACGGAGGCAAAGGCATAGAGTGCCATGAAAGCGGAATTAATTGCCCATTTCTTCTTCACCATGCCACCATAGAGAATGACTAAGCCGGGCACACACTGGAGCCCGACTAGGGTGGCAGCCGTGAGCTGCCACGCGTTGTCACCTTTGTTCATCCATTCCGGACTTGCCTCGTCTGGTGATAAATTTGAGGGAAGTTCCATTAGTGATAGCGTTCCTTGCACGATTACTCGTGATTCAACTACGTACTGGAGCAACGAGTGCTGTTTTTTTCTCTTTAGTTCTTTGTAATTGTTACCTATAACTATATGATTCAGAATATGATGGGATAGTGACTGTCTAAGAAATAAGCAAATGGCTTTCGATTGTTAGTTTAATATGAAGTATCATATGTGCTATTTGTGTCTTTTCTTCAAGAGTGTAAGTGATGCCATTGCCGGCTTCGGTTTAGCTAGTTGGCCTGCTCTTGTGTTCCAGTATGGATTATTAAAATATAATTCTTTAAAGAGATTACGGTGAAAAACACATTTAAACTATTGTACTTTTTTTTGCGAGTGTCACATATCAACTATATGTTGTTCCGTTTTTCTACTTGAACTATTACCATCTATGTATTCAAACACACCTAGATGAGTAGACAGTGATAGTTTTGATAGGAAAAGGGAACAAGAAACAGTTGGAGGGGTGAAACTCGCGAAAAAATGATAGTTCAGATGTGTTGTTCGATCACTAACTCTTCTACGAAAGGAACATAATGTAAGTGTACGTAATATAAAGGAAAATCACAATGAAAGGACTAAGAACAACAAAAGAAAAGGAATCAAGAAATTAAAGAATAGGAAAATTTGAAATTAAATTCAATGATTATCTTCCGTTTTCATGGGTTTTTTTTTTAAACAGAAAAGTTTTATCATTTTTCTCAAGAATATTCATCGCTCAGAAAAAAGAAAAAAAAAGAGTTGCTAAATATTGGTTGAACTCCTTTTAATTGTAAGAATAAATAATTTAGTTATACAAAAAAATTCCTAAGCATGCAAATTTCTTCTTGATAAACTAATCTATTTTTTTTAAAACAATGAGAAGATTATAATTATAATTAAATGAATTAAAAAAACCTATTATAAAAAGAAAAAAAAGACTTTAAGGACATGACATGTCAACTAGGAGAGAAAGAAGTTTTTGAAGTGTTAACTGTTTTTAAAGAAAACTAGTAATAGTTGAGTGATATTTTTATTGAATAAAAGTGATATTTGAAAATAATTACCAAAACTTGGATGACCATTTAGAAAATTAGCATCACAGTTTAATTCCTATAATACTTATATGGTTAGAGATATAAGTTCAATTCATCTCACACAAGTTATGTCCGAGCAAGACATAACTTATTTTTTACAAAACTTATATAACTAAAGATAAAATTTTAATTTCAGAACCCACAAAATTATATGCCTTAACCTACATAACCTATATTTGTAATATACTAGACATAATATAGAAGTTTAGTCGACATCAATCATTGAAGAAGCTCATTTTGAATTCGCCATTCCATTGACTAAAAAAGGAGTAACCAATATTTTCAAAAGTTTTGACGAAAAAGGATTGAATGTAACATCATAAAATGATTTAAATATATTTCTTATTATACTTTCCATTTAAATATATCATTTTTGTTATATTTTTTACATAAATTTAATTTTAATTCTGACTAAAAAATTATGTGTTAAATTCATAATCAAATAATTCACCTCTAATTTTAAATATCCATTTTATTTTTTAGAAATTCACATGCTTAACTCGACTTGCCTTGACCCATTTTCTTTTCTTTTTCTCTTTTCAATACCCTAAACTTTAAAACTCTGGCACATTAAATTTCTTTTTTTTTTTCCTTCAATTTTTTAAAAAAGAAAGTTATATTTTTGGATGCATCCTTTTGCAGTCTAAGCTTTCAGCACTCCACTGATCTTCGTTCAACTCCTAAGCTTTCTTGCTTCTTGTAAATAGACAAATAGCATATGACATATAGTTCAAATGGTGAATTATAAATTTGATTAGTAGTTAAAAAAATTGTGTGGAAATACATAAAATGCCTCTAAAGTACTCCATCCGTTTCAAATTGAGTAACATGCTTTGATTTGATATGAAATTTAAGTAAATGATTTTTTTGTTAAAATTTTATTGTCTAAAGTTAAAAATTGATTAAATATATTAAAATACTTTTTTACCATGTAGTCTAAAACATGTTAGTTGCTATAAAAAGGAAAGGATCATTTTTTTTGAAACTTATTAAAATAAAATATAGATCAAATAAATTGAAACGGAAGAAAATAGTACATTTTTGCGCCTTACGGCCTTTAATTATGGGTTCTATCACCTCCTTAATGTTGTTAAAAATTGATAGATCATACTTTAAAACTTTGTATTAAAAAGAGAAGACGAAAAGAAAAAAAATGGCTCGGGTCAGATTAAACGGGGTGTTGTATTTAAAATTGAGGGCGAGTTATTTAATTTTGAGTTTGACACGTATTCTTTCATGGAAACTCAAAATTAAAGATAAGTCTTTTTCTGTCGTTATATTATGTCAAACATAATAATTTGTATAAACCTATAAGAAAAATAGGATACGAGGTAGAGCTACTATGAAAAAGTTATGATTGTAAAATAATAAGGAAATATCAAATGTAAAAAGAAAATGTTAAAGGTAACGACACAATCACACCAAATCAATCATTACATAAAATGAGACATGTTGTTGAGTAGTATTATCTAACTATAAATTTAATGATATAATATAATAGAATTTAAATAACAATTAAAATAAATATTATATTTAAATGAATAGTACAATACAATACGATGCAAAATTGGGGGAAGTTATTTAATTTTGACAAGCCCTTATGCGAAGTAGACTGAAAATGATAGTTGTAGTTGCATTAACGTAATCGTTTTCCTAATCGCTCTTCTCACAGGGAAAAAAATGGCGGAAGTGTATAAATACCTCCATAGAATCACTACAAATTTACTCAATTTTAGTGCCCTAAAAGAAGAAAACAGTAACGAGAGTTTTTTTTTTTTTTCTTCATTTGAGCAATGGCGGACGCATTTGAGA